TAGGTCGGAGTTTTGGGGGGAGGGGGGTGTGCGGTGGGGTAGTGTCCTGGAATAAAAAGGATTTAGGGCAACAGCTCTCCCCTGTCTCTGTCCTCAGCTGACCCAGAGTTCACAGTCTCTTCCTGTCCCCTCCCCTCAAAACCACTAGGCCCCTGAAGATTTCCTCCTGGGAGGGAAGAAGAGAGGGAGGGGAAGCAGGTGGTGTAGGGCTCTGAACCCTGAGACTGTTTCTGCCACCATTACCTACTCTCCCACCTGAATCTACAGCAAAGCCCCACAAAGCTGCCACCCAGCCTAAATTCCTCCTCCTCCATGTGCCAGCTGTCTCCCGTGGTCGGGTGAGAGCACTGCTGGGTGACAGTGGCCCAGAGGGTGGAGGCCTGTCTCACGCCTGGCCTCCTGAGATGTCTGCAAGGTGCCTGGAGGGACGTCCTGTGCCTGGCGTGTGCCAGCGCAGGCAGGGAGGGATGTTGTCCTCTGCCAGGTTCCAGGAAGGCCTTGGCAGGCAGCACAGGCCTGGGCTGCAGGGTGTTGGAGGGTGGGAATGGGAGAGACATGGCTGCAAAGCACCTCATCTGGGCTCCATGCCCCCAGGCCCATGTGATGGCACTGCTGCCATGCTGTGCTGCCAGAGATTCGGAGATGGATGCCAACATGGGCCTGAGCCACAGACCACCTTCTAGCACCCTCCCTGCACGTGCTGTCGCCCAGCCAGCCCTCACCAACCTCTACTCCGACCTCCAACCTGATGCATGACATCTGTCCTTGGTGTCTGGGGTCAGTGACTGCTCTGAAGCGTGACCAGGACACTCCTGGAAGGCGGCCACCTACCACCCTCCAAGTCCTGTCCCCTGCAGGACACCTTCCCTCCCAGCCCAGACATGACTGAGCTCCTCCCCACTGTCCACGGTGACCCTCCGTTTCCCCCAAACTCACTCCACCACGGGTGGGTTAAAATTTAACTGCTTCCTCTCCCTCCCTGTTCTCGCTTTCTTCTGCTTCCAAATTCTGCACACCCTCCCCTTGGTTGCTTTTATTTTAAAATGCATTGGGTGTTCATTACTTTTCTCATGTGCTCCTTTCTCCCCAGCCCCCTACATGCCACCTTCGGCCCAAATTACCACACTCTCTTTCTCATTCAGGTTTTTCCTTTCTCCTACACACCCTGCTGGAATCGGTCTCAAACACCATTACGCGTGCGTGATCTTCAGACGCACCAGCTGCTAACCTGTGTGCCCCTATGAAGTGACCTGGGTTTATTCATGGTGTGCCCCGACCACTCGGTCTGGCACAGTGCCTGCTGCCCAGCAGGCGGCAGCGAATATTCCTCAAGTGACTGATTCCGTTGGTCACATTCCCTTCTCAGGCATCCAATTCTGTCTTCTGACTTGCTCTCCCCTTTGTCACCAAACCTGTTGCCCTCCTGATGTTCACTTGGCCTCTATTCATTTTCTCAAAAATTTCAGAGTGGGCTGGGGAAAGCAGTGAGCCTGGCTCCACGACCCAGAACGAAATTCGCCTCCCACAGGAAGGCTCTGGTAATCTCCGCTTCATTTTGATCGGTTTGTCAACTTCCCCCTGAGCCTGATGTGCGGCCTCCAATCTTTTTTGTTTTATTGTTTTAATTATGTCCCGTAGTATTTCCAACCCTCCCTTCATAGGTCACAAGCTCCTTCATGGAAGGGACAATTTATATCCTATTTTATCTTAACAAGGAGGCACCAGGTAGGGTACTCAGGCCCACAGAATGCTGGCCCGGATCCTGGTTCTAACACTTAGCTGCTGGGCCTGGGCTTAGCCTCTTAACTTCTCTGGGAGCCAGTTTTCTCCTCCATCTGTAAAAGGTGCTAGGGATATTTTGCCTTGCAGAATCAGCAACAAAGAACACGAAGACTACAAAGTGCAGAGAAAGTGCCTGTTGCAGGAGGAGCAAACCTTTGTTTTGCTTCCAAGGCCCGGGTCTTCCCTCAATTGGGGGATCAAGTCTTTCTTGAACCACTGCCCATTCCAGGATGCTTCACGCACGAGAAGTGTTATTAATAACTGCGCCGGTTCCAAGGATACAGCCTGGGATCCAAGGCCACTTACCCCGGGTCACGAAAACCCGCGAGGGCGCGCGGTATCCTGGTGCCTGAGCGTGGTGCCCAGCTTAAACGCCGAATGAAAGGGCGAAAGACGCTGTCCCTCGTTGCGTTTCTCGGATATCAAAGCGCGAAGAAGCGGATTGAAAAGCCCTCCCCCCCCCCCGCCGCCGCCGCCGCCGCCGCCGCCGCCGCCGCCGCACCCAACCCCACGTGGTGCGAGAGCCACGGGCGCCCCTCCCCCGTGTCCTTGGAAACAGTGACGTGTGCGAGGGGCGTGGCCCCTCCATCCTTCCCGCCGCCCCGGCCGCTCCTCCGCCGAGCCTGGGGGAGGGAAGACGAGGTTGGAGGTCTCGGGACCCTCCCCTCCCGAGGGCCCCAGCTGCAGGCGCCGCCCCGGCAGCTCGCTGCTCCCTGGGGTGCCCGCACCCCACCTTGCCCTGGCGCTCCAGCGTGGGGGGGCGGGGGAGTGCGGGCGTCGGTCTCGGTGAGCCCTCGCCATCCTCCGGCCCCGAGGCGTGTGCTCTGGCCCCCCGCGCCCCGGGCAGCCCCGCTCCGCGCCGGGGACGCGCGGGATCGTGGGGTTCTCGGAGGCGCACAGTGCCCGCGGAAAGCTGTAAGCCAGGAGTTAAGTAAGGTACGGGCGGCGAGCGTGGAAGAAGGGAGCGCAGAAAGTGAGCGGGGGCGGGGAGGACGGAGCGGGAACGTCCTGTGCCCGCCGCGGGAGGCTCCGCCCCACGCCCGCCTCGGCTGGGGGCGCGGGCCGCCCACCTAGCGCACTAACCTCGTCAGTCTCAGTGCCTTAGCCGGAGTGAGAGCCACCCGGAGGCCTCCGACTCTGGTTCCCGGGCCGGGGTAAGCGGGTCCGGGAGGGGATGGTGTCGGAGAGGGTGGGATGCGCCGCAGGGCACGGGCGCCCCTCGCTGGGCCTTCTGCCGCGTCAAGTGTCCCCAGCGCCCCGCGGGAACAGCACGTTCCCTCGGTCAGCCCCGACGGCTGCGCTTTCCAGGTTCGTGCGCGGGAGAAGGAAACGGACTGCGATGACGGAATTTGTCCAAAGCCCACACAGCCGTGATTTGAACCCAAGCCTTCAGCGGAGTCCAGTGTCTCCTTAGCTTTGGCGCATACAGGGCCGTCCTCAGTAATGGCCTAGCTGGATGTTTCCCATCCCCGCCCCCACCCCCAGCATCTGGAGCTCTGCAGTGAACCAGGCTGAAGCACCTGCCAGGGTCAGGGTGTAAGGAACGAGGAAGTAGCCTCAGGGTTTCACAGGTGGTTAGGTGGTTTTAGGAGCAAAGCATCTCAGGGGAATGGGCTGTGTGCCTGGTTTAGGAATTTGTGGGGGCTTCAGAGAGGGCTCTGGAGTCCCTGAAGGTGGTGAGATGGGTTCCAGGAGTTGGGATTCAGTAGCCTGGAAGGGGCAGTGGTGATGCGAGGGCTGAAGGGTTTGCTTCTCAGACCTGACACTGCGAGGTGCCCTCCCACCGGTCCCACAGCCTGAGTTCCCCAGCATTTTGCCCAGGTGAAACTTCCGGATTGTCATAAAACCGACGTTTATTGAAGTCTGTGTGCTGGGCACAGTTCCAAGAGCTCCGCTAAATCCTTCACAGAAAGTGGGTCTTACTAGTCCCATTTTACAGGTGGGGAAAATGAGGTGTAAGGATTGCTAAGTCAGTGGCTGAAGTGGTTTCGAACACGGCTGTCTGGTCAGGGCCCGGCCTGTCACCCACCCTGATATTCTGCACTGAGCTTGGGGGATCGGGCCCTGGAGGTAAAATTCTGGCACAGATGGCACAGAGGTGGGTGCCAGGGCAGCCCGAGACCTTGCTGAGGCCAGGTGAGGACCTCAGGCCACCTCTGTGTATGTTGGCTCTCAACTTCCCTCTGGACAGCTGTGCCGGATTTCTAGATTGGACAGAAAAACAAAACAAAATAAAAGCCAAGTTCCCAGAAAGAGTTGCTGCTTTTAATGTTTCCCAAGAACATTCAAGACACACCTACCGTCTATTATCACCCTTCTGTAAAATAAATTTTAACCCCTTCAAAATAAAAACAACATCATCTGAGTGGAAAACAGTCATTCTTGCTGGGTATGAAGGCATGCACCTGTAGTCTCAACTGCTGGGAGGCTGAGGCAGGAGAATCTATTGAGACCAACCTGGGAAAAATAGCAAGACCCTGTCTCTAAAAATAAAAGCTACTGCCAGTCATTTCTAAGAAAGGAGCCATTATTGACTTTACACTGAGAAATAGGCATTCCTCTGTCTTTAATTTTTTATTGTGCTGTGGACTGGTGAAAATGTCACTGTGGAGATGCGGGCCTCCAGTCCCTCTGAGTCATGTGAGGGCAGAACCAGAAGAAATGGGGTTTAGAGTGGGTTGTGGAGGTGCATGACAGTCATCCCAGCACTCTGAGAGGCTGAGGCAGGAAGATTTAAAGTTTGAGCCCAGACTGGGCCACTCAATGATAGAGACCCTATCTCAAAATAAAAAATATAGAAAGTCTAGGGGTGTAATTCAATATGAGGTCCCTGAATTCAATCCCCAATTTTAAAAAAAAAAAATTAGGTATAGAAGGAGGGAGTTAGGGTACAGTGGAGAAAGAACTCTTTGGACATCTTTAAAGAATGAGTGAGCACGTTTGCTCAGGATGCTGGGCTGCAGAATCAACTCCGGAGGATGGTGGGCCATAGCTTTCCATGTCACTCCGGGGGACACAGGGGACCTTGTTCTGAAGGATCTGATCTGAGCTCTGCCAAGGCAGCCTTTCAACCCAAAATGACAGTCGCTGCCTGGCAGCTGTCACCCCTGCTCAGTGCTGGCCAGAGCTGGAGGGTGGGTTTCACCTACCTGGTCCCAGCATAGACATCAGAGCGTCTGTCCCGTGGGCTGGCGGCATCTTCTGACTCCAGAGAACTCAGGCCTGCCTGCCGCTGGGGAGGGGCCCCCAGATGCAGGACCCGGTCTGGAAGGCGCAGGATGCCCACGTTTTCATCCTGCAGCTTTAGAAGGGAACGTCTGAATCTCTTCAGGTTATAGAGACAAAAACAGGCCCAGGCCAGGGCAGTTTCTTTCCCCTCCAGGGCCACTCAGAATGGCCCAATGGGCGTACCCCAGACTTCCTCCCAGGAAGGCCCCCAGCCCAGTAGTGGGCTTCTGCTGCCCCCTAATGGAAGAAGGCACAGGCTCTGGAGCTGCCAGCTGGGTCCCTCCGAGCAGGCTCCACAGCAAAGGGGTGTGAAGGGCTCTTCTGGTTTTGGTGGTGCAGGGGTTGAACCCATGGCCTCAATAGGTCTTTTTATACCCCTAGACTCTCCAGTTTCATCTCTGCAGCCCCCAAAGCTGAAGCCTCATTCAAGCACTCTTCCCTGGCTGCCCCATTTCCTGACTGCTGCCTCTGTCCTGTTGTCTTTCCCACTTTCCTTTGTTGCCCAGGTTCCAATTCTGGCACCATGGCTCCTTGTGCTGGCAGAGTTCTGGTTCCAGAAGGCTCCTTCCAGGAGCCGTGGGCCTGGGTCCCACCTGGGCATGGACAGTGCTGAAGACATGGGTAAGAGCATACCTCAGTGCCTGGGGCAGCTGGACATCCGAAAAAGTGTAGTGGGCCTGGCCACAGGCGCTGGGGCCATCTACCTGCTCTACAAGGCCATCAGGGCCGGCATGAAATGCAAACTGCCCCTCTGCACCACCTCGCCCATCTGCATTGCCCGTGAGTGTCCGGGCCCTGGGGAGAGGGCTGTGCCCCAGGAGGCAGCTGCTCCCGAGGCCACCCCTGTGGGAGAGCCTGAAGGTGACTCCTTCGAGTTTCTCTCTCCTCCCTCTCTTCCCCTCTCTCTCTCCTGCCACCTGTGGGACCCTACCTAGGCCAGGGCCCTGAAGAGTAGATCTCACTCAAGTGGGTCCCGGAGACTCCTCCCGTAGCTCTCTAAATCCTACATTCACTCTGGTTCCAGGGTTCCACCTCTTGGAACCTTGGCACCAGGAGCTTCTCCTATCCCACTCTTGCCCAGGAACTTGACTCCTTAATGAACTGGGAAGTCAGGGGATCTACCTGCCCCAAGGCTTCCATAGTCCAGCTGGGCTGTTTCTTTTTCTTTTTTTTTTTTTTGAGACAGGGTCTCACTATTGTGGTAATCCTGTGCTGGGATTACAGTCCTGTGCCTCTACACCTGGCTCCACTTTTCTGTGGAATTAGAAAAGGGGTGCCTTCTGTGAGATCCTGTATTGCCATCTGCTGGAATATTCTTGCCATATACTGGTTACACAAACACAGCTTGTTACTGCCATATGTCAGAAAAGTATGATAGTAAACAGACACATGGATGACATGAGACAGATGATACAATATTAGCTGTAGTGCCTTTGTGCAGTACACTCCCTGTTCAACTGTCCATGATGATCGTGCATATAGCAGGAAGGCTTCTCTTCAGAAAAGGCGAGGTTGCCTTGTCCGCAGGTCCCTCTCCCCACCACTTCCCAACCCCATTCATGTTTTACTTCTAAGTCCACGGCCTGAACTGGGCTGGGCTGGCTGGCTAGGCCTGGCAATACAGCGAGAGTGCCATGGGTGGGACTCGGGGGAGCTGCGGAGACTCCTCAACTCCTTGGAGTGCAAGCAGGACGAGTACAGCAAGAGCATGATCCTGCACAGCATCACCCGCTGTGTGTACTTGCTGGAAGCCGAGGTGAGGGCCGGGAAGGGAGGCCTGTAGCCCGTCTGTGCCCAGGCTCGGCTGTCCCTGCTGCTCTCTGGCTGCTGGCGGGAGGGCTGTGCCAAGGGTCTTAGTGACGGGAAGGGGCAGTGGGCCCAGACTCCGGCTTCTCCCGCCTCTTCCCCCCTCCCCACACTGCAGGCCTCCGCTGGTACCACCGATGACATCAGGTTGTTGGGTGACATGTTGGACGACAGCAACACCAGTGTCAAAATCCAAGCTCTGAATGCACTGAAAGCTTTTTCTGGCATCCGGAAATTCAGGCTCAAAATCCAGGTGCGTCCAGGGACAGAGTACACAGGACGTCCATGGTCTTAGGTCCTTTCATTGGCATAGAGTAAATGATCATGTCCCAGAAGTTTGCTTGGCTTCTGAGTTTGTAACCCAGAAATAAGTGAGAGTCCCAGGCAGTCATAAAAGCTATGGAGTCTCAGGATGAATCTGAGTCAGGGCCCTGGTGGGATCTCTGAGGCTCAAACTTGCAGTCCTCCTGCCTCAGCCTCCCAGCTCAGTCTGGGATATTTTTAGGCCTCGTGTACATGGTAATATGTGGTTTATGCTCTTCTGTAGTTTGCCTGCTCCAAACATTAACATCCATATGGGGCAGTCATGTTCCCTTCTATTGGTAGTGGGTAACTGGGCTCCAACACTGAGCCACACACCCCATCCTCTGGTTCCTTTTTTACTGCTGTGTAGTTTTCTGTTTCATGCATGCACTACCATTGGGCCATTGGTGGGCATTTGCATTGTTCCCAGGTGCGTGTTACACACATGTGCCATAGGCACGCCTGTACACGCCTCCCTTGCTGCCTTAGGAGCTTTGCTCTAGGTGTGTATATAGGAGTGGAAAAGGCCTGGCCCGAGTGAGTTCCCAGTTTTTCCGGAAGGGTCGTCCTGATGCACATCTTCCTGAGGTGCATACGAGTTAGTGTTCCTCTTGTGTCGTAACTTCACCGGCATTTGATAATGGCACACTTACATTTTTTGCATTGAATGCTTTTGGAATAAACTTGCTGGCTGCCATGACTTCATCCCCTGGCCTCTCAGTTTCCTAGTTTCCCAAGCGTCTCAGAACCGGCTGGGACAGGACTGGGAGCAAAGGTTTTGGGGTCCCCCTACTTGAGGTTCAGCTCAGCAGGGAAGCAGTGTTTCCCACAGGCCTCCCAGGACCTCCCTCAGGATGTTCAGGGGTCCCTAGCGCTGTACCCTGAGGACCGGAACCCGGTCTCCCGGTCAGAGCTCTCTGGTCTTGGTTTCTGTCTGGCCTGTTTTCCTGGGGCTCCCTGGCTGCTTCCCCATGGCTGGTCACTACTGGCCATGGCCTCTTACCCAGCATGCAAAGTGGAGCTCTCATTCCGTAAGCCCACCACCTTCAGATGCTTTGCATACTGTCCTGACTGCCCTCACTGGAGCCCTTCACACTGTAGGGTTCAGCTCTCCTACCCTCCACCCCAGCACCTGCAGCTTGTGTTTCTGAATCCCTGCCCCAGAGTACTGACTCCTTGCCCTATGGCTCTCTGCAGCTGGTGGGGAGGGGGCAGGGAATTCCACTTCTGTTCCAGGTTGCTGCTTCTGCTGTTGAGGCTGTTTGTCTTTGGTAATAATTCTTGGTCCAAGCACCTCAGAACAAAAGATCCAGCCATCCACAGTGGCACACACCTGTAATCCCAGGGCTCAGGGAGGCTGAGACAGAGGATCGAAAGTTTGAGCTCAGCCTGGGCAGCTTAGTGACTTGGAGAGAACCTGTCTCAAAATAAAAAATAAGAAAGACCAGTGTAGCTCAGTGTGAAGACCCTAACCTAGAGATGATCCCAGTAAGCAAAAACAATTCAAGACGCCTCCATTTATTGAACAACAACAACAACAACAACAACAACGACAACAAAATATATATATTTGGGGTGTTTTGAGACAGGGTCTCGCTATGTAGTTCAGGTTGGCCTTGAACACATAGTGATCTTCCTGCCTCAGCCGGGATTACAGGTGTGTACCACCATACACACCCGAACAAATGTATACTGAGCTGTTAGGCACTATAGTAGGCACTGAAGATAAAGCAGAGAAGGGAACAGCAAAGACCCCTGTCTTTGTGGAGTTTATATTCTAACAGAGCAAGTCAAGCATTGCACAAAGTATAGAATGTATTTCATGTGATCAGTGCTATGGAGAAAAAGGAGAAGGGAGGATAAGGAAGGGTAGATGGGATGGTGTTGCAGCTTTAAATCTTTCAGAGGGTGGGGGATATGCTTAGTGGCACAGCCCCTGTCTGGCAAGTGCAAAGTCTTGAGTTCTGGTACCACCAAAAAAAAAAAAATCTTTCAGAACCTCGGTGGTAAAGAGTTCGTGACACCAAAAGCACAATCTATACAAGAAAAAGTCAATACATTGGAGTTCATTAAACATTAAAAACGTCTGCTCCGTGAAAGGACTTTTAAAAGGATGGAAAGACAAGTTGCAGACTGGAAGAAAAGTATTTGTAAACCCCATACCTGACAAAAGGACTTGCCTAGATTACATAAAGACTTCTCAAAACTCAGTATTAAAACAAGCAATCCACCGGCAAAAGATATGAAGAGAGGTTCCAATGAGGAGGATATGCAGATTACAAGCCCAGGAATAAATGTTTAATACCACTAGCCATTAGGGAAATGCAAATGAAGACCATTAAAAGAGATTAACATAAACCTACTAGAAGATCTAAAATTAAAATTAATGATAATACCACGTGCTGGAGAAGACATGGAAAAACTGGAACTCTCCTCCATCGCTAATGAGAATGTAAAGCGGGAGGGTGGGCGCTCTGCTCCCGAAGGCAGCTTGGCGGTCAAGCATCTTTCTTGGGGCCCGGGGGGCGGAGCCAGTGCAGTGCGCATGCTCTTTTCGTGCTCTGGATGGAGCTGCGTTCCCAGCCCCAGCTTCTCCTCTTCATTTCCGGGGATGGAACTCGGGACCTTGAGCTTGCTTAAAAAACTCAGTGTGGGGCCGGGGATGTAGTTCAGTGGTTCCGGCGCCTGCCTCTCAAGTGCAAGGTCCCGAGTTCGATCCCTGGTACCCTCCCCCCGCAAAAAAACTACACAGTGTGCATTTAGTTGCCCTTTGGGGCTTTTATCTTAGAGAAGTGAAAACTTACGTGTGTATGAAAAGGTGTGCACAGTTGTTCACGGCAGCCTTATTTGAAATAACTCAAGACTAGAAACAACTAGAATGAGCTCTCAATAGGTGAATAGTTAAATAAACAGGTGATCCGTGGTGGAAAACACTCAGAAATAACAATGAAATATTGATACGTGTACCTTGATGGATCTCAAGGGCATTTCACTGAGTGGGGGAAAAAGAGCCAATCTCAGAAGGTTGCATGAAATCTGACTGCACACGTGCACCATTCTCGAAGAAGTTAGAGAAGGAAAACAGGTTGGCCTTTGCCAAGGATTTGGGCTGCCTAAGTGGGTGGCCATGAGCCCCCAGGAGGGAGCTCATTGTGGTGACGGGACAGTTGCCATGGGATAATCCATTGACTGTGATTACAGGAGTCTGTACAGGTAATAAAATGATAGAAACAGTCCAGGTATGGCGGCTCACGCCTGTAATCCCAGCACTCTGGGAGGCTGAGGCAGGAGGATCACAAGTTTGAGGATCACAATTTAGCAAGACACTATCTCAAAACGTGAAAAAAAGGGCTAGGGATACAGCTCAGTGCAAAGGCCCTGGGTTCAATCCCCAGTGCTGGCAAAATTTTAAAAAGAATTAGGCACACACATTACACCAACTCCAGTTTCTTAGTTTTTAAAAATAAGTATATATTTGTGATACATAATAAGATTCATCTTGGGGAATTGACACTCAGAAGTATGGCATCTTAATCATTTTTATTTCCCCTTTCTCTTTGGGCCTCCCATCAGTCTTGATGTATTATCATCATATAAGATATATCATCATATAAAATGTAACCATCCAGGGAGACTGAGTGACAAGCACAGGGGATCTCTCTGAAGTGTTCTGCAACTTCCTATGAATTTAGTTATTTCAAAATCAAAAGGAATCATAAATTGATCATTTACAGTCACTTAAAATAGCATGTTACATGTGAACAATACAAGGGAGAGAGAGAAAGACAGAGGGTAAGAGCCAGGGATTTAGCTCAGTGGCTCCGGTGCCTGCCTCGCAAGCAGCACGTCCTGAGTTTGATCCCTGGTACCAAAAAAAAAAAAGGGTAAGGGAGAGTGGGCTGGGGTGTCGGTCGCCTCTCAAGGTGACATGTGGGCAAGGTCTTCCGGGAGGCAGAGTTTAAGCACATTCCAGCGCAGGTGTGTAGCTGGTGTGGTCAAGGGAGAGCGAAGGAGCTTTCGTCCTGGGAGCAAAGGAGAAAACCGACCAGGTCAGAGACATAATGGGGGGAGAGGCGCTTGTCTGGTGCCCTCAGGACTTGAGCCTCTACCCTGACAAAGGGGCACCCAGCCTAGGGGCGCGGCTGCTGTTCTGTAAGCTGACACGGCGGGCTGGATGAAGGGGGGAGATGGGGCTGCTGCAGTATCCAGCTGAGAGATGACAGTGGCTCTGGAGAGCAGCTAGAAGTGGGCATGGTGAGAAATGGCGTGAGCTTTGGTAGATTTTGAAGGGAGACCCAAGAGGGTTTTCCGAAGAATTGGAAAGACAGGAGTCAGGATTGCCGTGGACTTTGGCTTGATCAGCGGGAAGGACGGCATCACCAGTAGCTGAGGCGGAGCAGCCAGTGGGGCAGAGGCTGTGAGCACCCAGAGGCCTGGGACAGCGGGGAGGAAGCGAAGCCCCAGTGCTGTTTAGGGAGGTCCGAGCTGCGTGCGGGTGGTGATTGATGCGGTGAGCCAGGGTGGTCTCAATCAGGGTGATAAAGAGGAGGCTGGGTGGGAGGACTAGGAGAGAAGACGGTGAAAGAGAAGGCAGGTGAAGAAAGAATTTCAGGGAGGGAGCTCGTGCAAGTCAAGTGGTGTTTAGGGTTCAAGTTAGGGAGAACGGATTGGCTGGATGCAGGGGTCCTGGGCAGGAGGTGAAGGGTGAGGGTCACCACTTGAAAGCAGAGCCCTCTCTCCCACCCAGGAGCACACCATTAAGGTGCTGGAGCTGATCTCCACCATCTGGGACACGGAGCTGCACATTGCCGGCCTCAGGCTCAACAACCTGGCGCTGCCTGACTTTGTGCACCCGCAGCTGCGGCGGGTGATGCCTACCCTGATGGAAATCGTGCAGTCGGACCACATCCTGCCGCAGGTGCCCTCGGTGGGCGGGCAGGGTTTCTGTGCTCCCTGCTGAGGCCCAGACTCACCTCTCGTGCCCTTCCCTGGTCTCCCCTTTATCCAGGTGCAAGCCATACGCCTGATGAGCTATCTGGTACAGAAGAACGATCTTCTCTATGACATTCTCAACTTCCAGGTGAGGGAAGCAACCCAGGAAGGTCTGATGGAGCCAACACAGGTGCAAGGGAGAGAAGAGCTGTGTTCTCCACACAGGTGTAGCCCCATTGTCTTCTCTTCCACCTCTGCACCAGAAGCACTGAAAACTACCCCTCTCCTATTCCCCCAAGAGAATGAGAATCCATTGTACTAGGAAATATGTTCTCCTTTGAGGAGCTTTTTGAACTCCTGAGAGTTCAAACACAGAAAATAAAAGTTAATGTAAGTATTTTAATATTAGAGATAAGTGACTCATGGCAAAAAGCATTATTAGGGACAGAAGGGGTTACCACATAATAAGTGGTTCACACCACCAGAAAGATAAAGCAACTCTAAACTTATATGCACCTAATAACATAATCTCAAAATATATATGGTAAAACTTGCTGGAATTGTAAGGAGAAATGAACAAATCTACTATTATGGTGGAAGATTTGGAAGATTTTAGTAACTCATCCATTAACACATAAATAAACTAGTCAGGATATATTTGCTGAACAAAACACAGGTAAGCTTGAGCCATTAGACATACCTAGAACACTCTGTAATTACAGTATTAAATGCACATTCCTCTCTGGTACACACAAAATATTTATGAAAATTAACCACACACTAAGCCTTAAAATTTGCCTCAACAAATTTCCCAGAATCCATATTATTGTCAAATCACTTGAGTTTTATAACCATAATGTTATTCAACTAGTAAATGTGAGTGAAAGGTAAATGAAAATTTCCTCTACAGTTCATCTGAAACCCAGGTACCTTGGTGATTTGAAACAATAGGAGGATGGAAAAAGAAGAATTTGGAACTTTCCTGGGATTTCATTTCCATTCTCTTTCCATTCCCATGTCACAGGTGCACTCCAACTTCCTGAACTTGTTCCAGTCCACTCAGCCAGGAAGTCTGCTGTTGGAGGTGCTGGTGTTTGCTGAGCGGCTGAGGGCCGAAATTCCCCCCACTACCGCGTGGTGAAATGGCATTACAATGAGCAGTCCCTGCACGAAGCCCTCTTTGGGAATGAGTCCCGATTGGCAGACCGCCTGCTGGCCCTGGTCATCCACCCCGAGGAGGACATTCAGATCCAGGCCTGCAAGGTCGTAGTCAGCCTGCAATGTCCCCAGGACTTGAGAGTCCGGTCCTCCTCCTGCCAACCCAGTAATTCCTACTTTAAAAGCGGGGAATAAAATTAAGAAGAACCAATAAATGAATATGGGAGAGAGGCCTGAGCATCTGTTGGCCCTCCAGGGCTGGGTGGAGGTGCCATTCAGCATGACCTCAGCCCCAGGATGCACAGCAAAGAGTGAGCTCCCCAACACACCCCACTTCCATGTTGGGAGACTGACTTCTATCTCCTCTTGCTGCTTGTCAGATTTGAATATGGAGCCCGAGTTTGGAGGGAGTTGGGGGAAGGCAGGTGCTGGAGTGTGGCTGTGGTTTGGATATGGCCTACATGTCCCCCTCCCCTACTAAGGTTCCTGTGTTGGAGTTTGGTCCCCAGGGTGATAGTGTTGGGAAATGGTGTGGGCCTTTAAAAGGTGGGGCCTCGGGAGGGATTGGGTACCTGATGCATTTATTTATTTATTTGTTTGTTTGTTTGTTTATTTATTGGTACCGGGGATCAAACTCGGGTCCTTGCACTTGTGCAGCAGGAGGCGAAACCACTGAGCTAAATCCCCGGCCCAAGCTACCTGATGCTTTTAAACACATGCACTTCAGCCATGATGGGGCACCATATGCCAGTGATGGTGAACCTTTTAGAGCTTTCAGTGATAACAAACATTCGGCTGCAGCACATGTGCCATAGTTTCGCCATATGCTGTTAGGTTCTCACCCAAGACTGAACCATTAGATCAGCCTGATCTTGGCCTTTGAACCTTAAAAACTATGAGCTTAATAAGTCTCTTTTCTTCATAGCTTGCCTTAGGTATTTTGTTTTGGTCACAAAATCTTGAGTAATACATCAGGCTTGGGGACCAGTGGTAAAGAAAATCAATAAGAGCCAGGTGTGGTGGTTCACACCTGTAATCCTAGCACTCAGGAGGCTGAGGCAGGAAGATCACCACGAGTTCAAAGCAAGCCTGGACTACATAATGAGATCCTGTCTCCAAAAACCAAAAAAGAAAGAAACAAAAGAAAATCAGGGCTGGGGATTTAGCTCAGTGGTTTCGCTGCCTATTGTGCAAGTGCAAGGACCTGAGTTCGATCCCTGATACCAAAAAAAAAAAATTGGGCCTGGGATTTAGCTCAGTGGTTCTGCCGCCTGCCTCGAAAGCAGAAGGACCTGAGTTTGATCCCCAGTACCAAACAAAACAAAACCAAAAAAAACCCCCCCAAAAACAAAAAGAAAATCCACAGCCACAGCGTTGGATTATTCAGAATGGGCTAGGCTATGCAACAGTGACAAACAGCCCCCAAATTTCAGAAAATGACAAAGGTTATTTCTACCCACACCACATGCCCAGTGCAGGTCAGCTGGGAGACAGAAGGGCAGGGATCTGGTCCACATTGTGTTCAGTGACATAAGTTCCTTCCTTTTTCTTCCTTTTCTTCTCCAACTAGTAAAGAAAGAAAAGGAATGTGGCTGTGATAATCGACTCTTAAAAGTTGCACCAGAAATGGTGCTTAGCCCTTCTGCCCATATTTCACTGGCCAAAGGAAGTAGGGAAAATCAATCTTACCAGGTGCCCTGGAAGAACTGAAAATATTTGGTGACAGCATTAAGGCTCAAAATGACAGGCATATTTTGTAGGTAAGAGCGAGAGCTCTGGAGTCCGACTGCTGGTGCGAGCCCAGCCCTGTCACTTATAGCTGTATGACCTGGGGTGAGCCATTAACCCTATTTGAGCCTCAGTTCCCTCATTTGTAAAATGAACAGAGGAACAGCAGTCAGGAGGCCGCTGGCTTCTGTGGAGACTGAATCAAGGTGAAACCCTGGTTCTCCATGCGTTCTTCAGGGGCTGGCCCGGCGGAGCTGGAATTTTTCATTGAGGAGGTGAAAGATTAGTACTGAAGGTCCTCAGAGTGTGTGAAGCTAGTGTTTTAGTCTTCAGCCTGCAGACACTGGGAGTTCCGGGGTCCTTTACGAAGCACCTTGAGATGCTGCCGTAACTGCACCTTGCAAACCAGAGCAAGAGTGTGAGTAACAGAAACCACGACCATGGAGACTCCGGAAGCAAGAAGATTGAACCCCAGGGTGGTTTCCGGTCTCTAGACTTTCCAGTTTATTCGCACTGTCCCTCTGTCTACTCACTGGGTTAGCTGGGAGGTGACGGTCAGCGGCCATTTCTGCAGAGGGAGCGAGCTCGACGCTGTCCCCCAGCGTTTGGCTGTCACCCCTGAGCGAGTAGTCTCACCAGAACTGAATCGTGTGCATTGTGTCTCCCCTGAGTTCAGACCTGAGGCTGCTCCTTCCTGATGCTCCATATGGAGCAGCCACCCCAACGGACGGCGCCAAACCCGGCACTGTCCCTCCCACCTGTTACAGTTTATATCTACATCACCGCCCAGAAGCCTTGTTTGCTCCTAGGCGGGGCTTTTGGAAAGTGACTGGATTGGGGGTTTAGAGCTGACCTGCCTTAGGAGTGGGGGCTGGTAGGAGGTGGGTCCCTGGGGGCGTGGCCTGGAAGGCTTCCTCTCCCGTCTGGGCTCCTCCTCCCACTCTCTCTATGAGCAGCTTGTGGCCCTCTGCCGTGCCACCCTGCCTTGGAGCTGGCTGTGGACTGAAATGTGAACCCAAAGAAACCTCTCCTCCCTTCAGTTGTGTGTGTGGGGGGTATTTTTGTCCCAGCAATGAGAGAAGTAACTAAGACAGCCAGCTCCCTGCACACCCATGTCCCCAGCAAGGTGCTGGATTTCACCTTTCAGTTCTCCAATTCCGCTGCTATGCCCCTGTCCCTGGCATCAGGACACTTATACTTCTGGTCTTCATCCTTCCCAGCCCCCCTCCCCCCCAGGTAACTTTAGAACCCTGTTTTCCACCACCCTCAAAAACCTCAGGGGCTTCAGATTTTCATGATGAACCTTTTCTCACCCTTGAAGTAAAGTCACATAATCTGATAGAAATGTACGCTCTGTGGCTGGGAGTGAAGCTCAGTGATACAGTGCTTGCCTGGCATGTGTGAGGCCCTGGCTTCCATCCCCAGCAGAGGGAGGAGGAGGGGAGAAGGAGGGGAGAGAGGGAGAGAAGGGAAGAAAGAGAGGCAGGGAAGAAAGCAAGCCGCAATACAGATAGTATAATTGGGGCCCACTACCCTCTACTCCCCTGAGCCTGGGCAGTGCCCCAAGGCCCACCCCCAACCCTTGTCCTAAGGGTTACTACAGGGAGGCAGAGGGCCGGGGATTTAGCTCAGTGGTTCCGCCACCTGCCTTGCAAGCTCAAGGACCCGAGTTCGATCCGTGGTACCAAAAAAAAAGTCTATTCTACAAGGAGGCAGAGAAAAGGGAAACCAAGACCCCCCCAACCTACCCTGGAGAATTCCAGAATTTCAAACCAGGGTGAATGCACACCAGACCCCCATACATACTTATAGCAGTGTTGGCAAACCTTTTAGGGACCGAGTGCCCAAACTGCAACCCAAAATCCACTTATCCATTGCAAAGTGCCAACACTGCAATTGAACCTGAACACTGTTTAGAAAAAACAACTGCTATCTGCTGCTCAGCTGCTAGGGTGACTGGGCTCGCGTGCCATAGGGTTGCCACCACTGACCTATAGTAACCTTTCTGCACTTGGAGCTCCCTGAGGTCCATGCATAGGGACTGCATCTCATACATCCAATTATGACAGTGAATTATGGGAAAGGACTTGTGCAGTAGACACAGCTGACGTGACTCAGCACCCTGTCAGTCATTCTCTGGAAGCCCCAGTGGGAGGTGCCCTAGAGTGGGTGTAATGCTTTAAACCCCTACACCCCTACCAAGTGCTTGGTACTTTGCTATTTTCCTCTCCCTGGCGTGAGCCTGCTCACTCTGAGCACGTGATCGCCTTAATACACTTTGCGGCTGTCTCCTTACCCTTGCATGCCACATCCAATTCTTTGTTCATTGCACACAAGAACCTGGGAATCCACTCTGGACCCCATCACCTAAGGTCATGTCTTGGTGAGCCAGCCAGGAGCTAAGCCACCCACCTGTCTTGGGGAAATTTTAGAAATTTTTATTTCCTCTCTCTCTTTCCTGTTTTTGTGTCCTTGGTCGCTCACCACAGGCACAGGTCAGACAGTTAAAGCCCATTAGGCTGTTGGCAGCTTAAAAATGCCCAGGAAAGGATAACTTGGTCACAGAATGGTGGAATAGAGCATTTTAGGTTCCACTGGGGATCAGAAAACTTCCATGCATTGCTCAGATTTATATTTGTGTGACTTCTTTTTTGCTATGAACCTCTGCAGCTTGGGGATTCCTTTTCCATAGCTAGAATTTCCTGAGCCCCTGGAAGATGAGTGCTTAAATATTGAAGCACCAAAGATCAACAGGCATTTGTTCCCTCTAACCAGAAATGGGAAGAGGTGTCCAGGGGTCCTCCAGGATGCAGCAGCCTGGCTAGGTATCCTGTAGGTCACCACCTCATCCTGTCCCTGGGTTAGATAAGACTGAAGATTTTGCTGGCCCAGGAAGACACAAATAGGGATGAGGCCCCTTCAAGCATCTTGAGCAAAGCTGCTCACATACACCTGGTGTGGGAGGCTTGATCCTGAGACACAGTGGAGAGACCAGGCCTCTGGATTACCCCAGAGAAAGCAGTCTCCAGAGGCACACACACACTCACACTTTAGCCGGAGGGAGGTCCTCTAGACTGCTTTTTCCATCCTGTCCCTTCGCCTCCCCCTCCCTCCCTCTTCTAAATGAAATGAGCAGGGTCATTTTAGCGCCTCTTAAACATCCTTACTCTCTCTCTGTGGAGTCTTCATCTGCCAGGAGACTCATATCCTTTTGTGAGCTTGAGAGAATGCAAGGGAAATGGGGACAGAGGAAACGGCTATGTAGGGGTGAAGGAAATGTAGGTGAGCTCCAGTTTTAAAGCTAGATCCCACCTGTGCTACTGGCAACAGTGAGGGCCAGAATCCCACCTTACCTAGACTAATAGCACCTTAGGTGGCCTTCTCAGTTTGTTCCCTAAGGACTCAGCCTATTCCAAGTACTTAGACTGCCACCTACTGGGCTCCTCACCCATTAGACTTTCCTCAGCCCTAGGCACGCAAGCAAACTCCGCTTGCCCTAC